ACGCACTCTACCTCAACAGGCAGGACCATCAGTCTCCAGGGAAACGGTTGCTGAGACGCATGAAAATTCGAAACGTAATTCCTTACCTGAGGAAGCGAGTGAACAAAGACCCAATGTTTCTAAACCTGCTCGTAAAAATGGAGGAGTCTCAAATGTTAACTCGGAAATGAGTCAGAGAGGGAAAATTAAATCGAATAGAATATCCGCTGAAGAACTGTACGCGCTAAAAACGAGTAAAAGCATCGAGAATTCGAAAGAGGTAGCGCGTTCACATTCCGTCTCACCAAAAACAAGCTTAAATTAATTGTTATATTTCCCGTGAAGCTAGTGAAAGGTGAATCAGCCGAGAAACTAGAATCAAGTCGCGAGACTCATAAGAAACGAAAGCGTTCCGTGAAAAAGACAGAAAAGAAGTCTCAAAAGAAGGTTAGGGGAGCTGATGATGTTAATGTTGACGATGAATTTCAATCGTCGAGCGGAAAGAAGATCGAAGAAAGAGAGACTAACGAAGAAAGCGAGATCGATGAGGAAAGTGAAAGTGAGGGAAAAGATACATCCGACGAGAAAGAGGTTATTCAAGTTGGTGAAAGTACAAGTTCTGAAAAGACAAAAAAATTGGATGACCCGGAGCGATTGCAACGAACTATTTTTGTTGGAAATTTGTCAACTTCTGTCATAGAAAAGGTGTTTATTTTTGATCAAATAATGCCAATTTCCGACGGATGAAACAATTTTTTGAATACTATTATTTTTTTAATTCTTCCTTAACATTCAGAAAAATCACAAAAAGCTAAGATCATATTTTTCCAGCTGCGGCCGAATCGAAAGTATACGTTTCAGATCTATTGTAAGAATTGCATGTTTCGATCACCTTCAAGGTCTTTTCAATGATTTCATAATTTTTATAACGATCCTTTTGTTTAAAAAGGCCTTTTCCAGACAGCTTCCTCGAAAAGTTGCCTTTATCAATAAGAAATTACATCCGGAACGAGATTCCTTGAATGCGTATATCGTGTTTAAGGAAAAGGCGTCGGTTCAAAAAGCACTTTTCAAGAATGGTGAAATTTTCATGGGAAAACATTTACGTGTGGATTCCGCAGTCGATTCGCAAGTTAGTAATTGATAAAATAGATCATTCACGAATTTGATGTTTATTAATTGTACATTCCACGAATTTTAGAGTTACGATCGTAAGAGATCGGTTTTTATAGGCAATTTAGATTTTGACGCGCAAGATGAAGCATTATGGAGTCATTTCGAAAATTGTGGCGAAATTGCGCATGTACGAATCGTGAGGGACGGTAAGACCAATGTTGGCAAAGGTATCGCATATGTTCAATTTAAGGTAGGAATCATTAAAAAAAAAAGACATTTTGGATTATATATTTGGAAACATGCAAAAAATTGTTAATTATATGATGATGATTGATTCTATATTAGGATCGTTCATCAGTCGAACTTGCACTTAAGCTTAATAATACCAAGATTGGTACCCGCAGCATTAGGATATCCAGGTGTCTTAAATCCTTTTCCGATAGTCGCATTCAAGATAATGAAAAGCCATCGGTGAGTAAAGTAGTGAAAAGGTCATTTGAAGGTACGCGTGCCATTAAAGGAACGAAAACTCCCAGAATTCGGCAGAGAACTCGAGCGTGGAAGAATGCACATAAGAAAAATGGAAAAAAATGACTTTTTTTTATAGGGAACAATAAAAGTATCAAAATAATAAAATTAAACATAGTATGCAAGCGTAGTAGAATTTTTATTAAACTTCTACGCAAATCCATAAATTCAATTTGTTTTATGGGTACAATCACATGGCCGGTTCATTGGTATAAATACTAATTAGTCAATTCACTCCACAAGTGACACCAATGTCTTCCATGAATAAAAAACGAACATGATTCACTCATCTTCAAACGAGTTTCCGAAAAGTGTTGAAGGATTTGGTTATAGATTTAACGAGGAAGGAAAGCTGCGGAACATTAAAACAAGTATAGGGTCATTTTGTCTAGCAACGTAGATCCCGTGATAAACCACATTAAGAACGTTGATTTTTGCCGTGCACAGACGAAAGGTTTGAATTTTATGTCAAGCGGGATGACCACTCCTACAACCAAAAGCACTATGAGGCATTGGGTGGTACTATGAAATAGAATTTTAATATACAAGCATAACAATACGATTCATGATCCTGACTTCCATTTTTCATATTTCTTGAAGAGGTTATTGGCGAACACATTGAAAATGAGTTGGTGTCAGAGTATGGTCTCCTGAGACGCGTCATTCCAGTGGAGTTGGAAGAAGACGAGGACGCGTTGAAGAGCAGAATCTATCTTAGGCAAGCTAGAAAAAAAATGAAGGTTTAGATGAGTTTATTTATCGCTCACCATCACACATTTTCTTCCCAGCAATGACGCCGCCAATTGTCAAAATTTGCTTTTGCTCATCCAAGGAAGTGGCGTCGTGCGCCCTGGACAATGGGCGCGACAAGGTTCTTGATTTTGAAATTGCGATACAATCTTGGCGTAATAAATATCATCTAACTGTATTATCTAAATTCTTGCTCAACAGTAATAATAAATGACTCCCTCGAGGTTATTACCACACCTTTCTCCGTTCTCTGCCTTCAGTTTTATTTCACAGTTCTTTCATTGATTTTGGGGCTTCATTGTACAATCCCACGATTTTCAGCTCGGAACCATGTATCCATACATTCGAAAAGCACAAGAGTTGAAATGGGGCATCGTAATATTTAATCCCAATGAGAATTATGGAAGAATTATTAGAGATGGCAAGGTGAGTTTGTTAAATTCGTGATTTTTACGTGTTAGGGCAGTTTCCTGTTAAATGACCCTGAATTATCACCACGCACTTTAAGGTTGTTTCCCGTGGGTCAATCAAAGGTTCAGAATCATCGGATAACCATTGCTTATACGTATGGAAAAATTTCGTCAGGTAGGGAAACATATGAATATTTTGGAACATGGGTGAATTGTATTCCGCGAGTCGATTAATAATACCTAATTTCTTAAATAGAACCTCCAAAGCTGAAAAAATTATGATCGTGGCCCATAGCTATGGCGGTATCAACACTACTTACCTATTGAGTAAATTGGGTAAAGTGATGATGAACTTGATCATTAACACGCAGGCCAACGAAAAATGCCTTAATGTCTTTTGTTTCATTAAACAGCCGACGAATTCAAATCACGTGTTATTGCTATAGCGCTCACAGACAGTGTACACAGTGTCTCCATGATTCCTACGCAATTAAGAGAATGGTTTATGAATCACTCGCTCAATTGGATCAAATCATCTTTGCCTCTCAGTGAAAATATAAAGGAAGCAAAGAAGTTCTATGGATGTCGTTGTTTTTCAGCTGGTAAGATTTTATAAATTTGTTGACTCTATTATGGCCTTCTCATGTGCTTAAAGTTGGTTGACAATTAAAAGGTCATCCGAAACATGAATACACCTCTGGTACGGCCTTTGAAGATGTTTTTGAATTCCTAACATATCGTCTAAAGAAGAGCTATGATGATCAAAAAAAAGATCAGGACAATCAGGACAATCAGGACACCAGCAAAGATTCCGATCAAAATGATATGGAAATTGATAAGGAAAATGATAAAGAAAGCATAAAACAAGACACCGGTGGAACAAGTAGTGTTTCAACATCAACAGATGCGCCTACTGAGATGGAAATAGATGATGACAGTGCTGCCACCAAAAATAATGACAAACCAGTGGAAAATGAGAAAGATGATCGCGAGGCGATAAATGATAATTCAACAGATCTTAGTAAAACCATAGTAGTAGATCCCGATACTGCGAATGACATTTCAGATCCAAGTGATGGCAAAGTATTAACCGAAGGCAACAAACAGGATCCTGAGGCGACAAAGGATACTTCGACATTCGCAAACCTTAATAGTGAAAATATTGATTCAACGGAAAATTCCGCGATGGAAAACGGGGTTTCAACATCCGTAGATTCTGACCAAGTCGTGAATGTTAGTAAGTCCTTAAATTCTGAATTAGAAGTTACCCAGCCCTCTCCCGAAATTCTCGATGGCAACAATCAACAAGGTACAAACGTTATAGAGGATGAGAGTTCACATGAACAAAGTCAAAATGATAATACCGAAATCCTCCAACATTTAAATGATGATCAAAATACTAAAGTCGATGCGAATGAGATGGATACTGACAACGGGCGTATCCAAGGAAAAGAACCGACATCTATCGCTGACCAAGAGATCAATCAATCCGAGGAAGAAGGCATTTCCAATCCCTCGAAAGAATAGAGTTGAGAAATATTTTTACGTCATTCCGTGATGTGCACATAGAGGGTAGAAGTTATCCATAAACCTTTGTTGGTTGATTCCTGTTAAATTATTTCTTATATCAATTCCAAGTGAAAACATGCAATTTAAATTTGGTGAAAATTATCCGTTCCTTTTTTTTTTTTATTCATGTTTAAAAATAGTCCTCTAGTTATCCTATGCCATTTTCGATAACTCGTTTTAAATTCTTTCCACATATATATCTATCTATATATCAAGGAATTTTATCAAACAATCTTTTCTCGTTAATAAATGTAAATGTGAATGTGAATGTGAATGTTTTCCAATTTAAAGCAAGTTATGAATGAGTAATTGAGATGAGAGTCAAATCACTTTACTCAACCCCTCCCCCGAGATCGACGACCTAAACATATAACTGCATCATGCTGCTGGGCCTCGACTTGGTCTGACAACTAGGACAGGGAACTTTCTTTTTGCCTGAAAATTCGGTGCTACACCTTCCACAAATTACGTGCCCGCAACCCAATGCCCACAACTTCTCTTGAAGTACACCATTACATTTTGCGCAGATTAATATCTGATTATCCGCTATGTTTCGAGTGTGATTAATTAGATCCTTTGAAGGAATGTTATTGTTTTTACGAGGGACAGGTGGTGGTGTACTTAGAATTTGGACATCATT